CATGTCAGGCTGAACATAATACTTGAGGGAGATGAGAAATTTATGTAATCAATACGTTTCAATTAATTTTTCTTTTCCAAAATGAAAAGAAGTAATGATCTTCACTCCAGGCAAATGGTGTCTGTAGTCGAATATGCAAATAAATATATAAACAATTACTTAAATAAATGAAGTGCTTTACTTAATGTTTTCCTTTCAGACATGTAACACCTAGGAAGATAATAGCACCTTTCTGCTTAAAAATTTGGCTCTGTTAATTGCAATCTCTGAGACTGTTCTGTCTCTGACATTCGTAACTGTCTCCGATTCAAGACTAGTTAAGCAAATTTCCTGTATTTTCATATTGATATCACATGCTGAGTTAGTGCCTGTGAAACACTTGTTCCTTTAGGTGGATAATTAAATTAATACTTTTAATTGTATCATTAATAAATAAACTCAGAAAATTCACAAAGAAGTATAAGAAATTCTCTTTTGTGATATCATAAATTAATGTTATTAATTCTTTTGAGTTACAGGAGGATGTATTATGAACTTTACCACCTTTATTTTTTATAATCTCTCTCTGAATAGTCATAGCATACCATGAGTGTTACTGGTTTCATATTTGTTCAGCAGTCCTCTTGTAATTCAAGAAATAAACTCTGTGCTATTGTGTTTAGTCTCTTTGTCATTAGAAAACATTTAATCAACCTATTCTAGTATAAATATAACTTTCATACTCCTCTGGTGGTACGCTACTCTAACATTTCAAATCGTGAAAAGTGCATTATCTATAGGAATGCATTTCCAGTGTTTCTTTGTCTTTTCAGTTAAATGTTCTTAAGATCAGGATCTCTCTCTATTGGTCCTGTAGAGAGTTAATTTATTGATAGCTTTCAACTACCTTATGGTCACTGAGTATCCATTAAGTTTCGTTTTCACTTAGTATGTGAATATGACTATTGTCAACCTCATCTTTTCTCCCTAAATTCTTAAATTGGTTGTCAATGACATTCATTGTCACATTTCCCTTCATTTTTTCATTCACATCCTATTTACTGAACAATTTGGCAATTTGCTAACCTCAGTTTCTATAGTCTGTACTTTGGAGCTCCTGAGTTCACTTCACTATGGATCCTTGTTGCAGCATTGATCTTTCCTTGGCGCTATTCTCGCTTGACAAAGACACTTTCATTCAGATCCCAGACAAAGCCTTCAAATAAGCCAACCTTTATGAAAGCAAACGGCTTACTGGCCAACTCCGCTTCCATTTGTTTCCCACCCTCATTACAGTGTCAGCAACAGTTCCTCTGCTCTAACGTGAGTCTCTCCCTCTGGAAAACTATTTGCTGCTCCCTTTCTTTGTATTTTCAGAGTTTATGACTCCATGAAAGCTCAAAATTATCTTTGTTGATTATGAATTAATCTCATTTCTAATCATGTTAAGAAAAAAACTGGCAGAGAATTTTACTGAAACAAAGTTCTAGTATTTGTTTGACCAAAAAGATGCTACAGAGAGTATGAAATATGCTTTCATAATAGTGTTTGTGTTTCTGCTCTTAACACTGGTGTAACGATGATCCAGGTTGCACAGGACGTTTACAATCCTTTAAACAGAGACATCCATCAGCAGAAGAATTGACGACACCTGATTTACTTTGAATTTTTGTCTGCATTCCTGTTCCAATGATCATCCCAGCTCTGTTTAAAATCGCTCTGACACCCACATGTCCTGTACCATGACAGGTTTGTGACTGTTGACAGCTACTGAGCAGAGGGTATCTGGTGGCCATGTTCTTGCCTTGCCCTCAGTTTAGTTTCTTCTCCTCTTTTCAACTGCTGATCTTCATGTGCTTTTGTAGGAGTTTAATTATCTTTGAGATCTCTGTCTTTCTTTCTAAGTTAGATTGAAGTCTTTAGGGTAATTCAAGAGCAACCTGGGGCGAACGGGAAAGGCACACAGCTCCGGTACGATTCCTTTGCATAAACATAAGTGGCCCGTGCCATTTTAAATAGCCTCTGCTTCTGGTTGCTGTTAGGGAAGGCTGAAGATCTGTAAGTCCTGTATGAAGTTTCCTAGGCATATGTAGATATCCCAGATACCCTGGGATGTTCTTTAAGTGGCATCAACTACCTACTTTTAGGCATCTGAGTCTTACCCACAGAGAGATGGCACAATTGTATAAAACTGCTCTCCTTAGGAAACCAGCCAATGAACGGAGCATCAGTAGTATTGTAAACCTTGGTGGGCAGACATTGTGAAGGAAGAAATGCTAAAATTTAGGTCTTGGATATGGAGATTGTGTTCCCAGTTTTTCAAGATTCACACTGTACATAGTGAAGTTCTCAGGTAATGAATCAAATTACTCAAGTTAGAAGCGTTTTTCCGTCCATTGTGTATGTTAGTCCCTTAAACCTAGGTGAGCATCTACTTTAGATAACTAAAGTAGACACTGTGAATACTTTCCTCAGCACTTCTTTTCCCCTGTGTGTTCTTTTTTAATGTTTTACTTCAGGAACTAACTTATGCATCGTATAGAGGTTTAATTCATTAGTACATGAAAAAAAGTTAATGAGTTTCAGTGGGTGTATATTATTGTTTTTGTTAAAACTTGTGAAGAATGTGTTCTGTATAAATGAGATGTATGCAGACATGGTTTCCTAAAGGTTGTCCATTTGAACTTTCTTTGCAGTGGTTTGGTGACCTTGTGACTCCAGTTTGGTGGGAAGATGTGTGGTTGAAAGAAGGTTTTGCTCACTATTTTGAATTTGTTGGGACAGACTACCTCTACCCAGGGTGGAACATGGTAAGTCAGTTTTATTTTGTTAATTTGGAGAAAACTTGCTCTGCTGTTATACTCCTGCTTTTGTTATAGACAGGGACTGCTGAAAAATACCAAATGATGCATGCAAGTATCAGATGTCCAATGAAGCAAAATCACTAGGTGTGAAATAATTTGACAGCATTCCAAAAGTGTAATCTGCAATTTATTACAAAAGAAATAAGGTCATATCTATCATAACCCAACATTAAAATAACTACTGTCTCTTCTCAGAAATGTTTTGTATTAAAGCAGTTATGATTTAACATGAACCGTTTTTGAAAATACTGAAAATATTGAATTTTATCCACAAACATGAGATAAATTGGAAAGAAATGTTCAGCTAAAATGTACTGTAAAACTAAGCGTATTCTGTCTTACAGTGTTCTGTTCTCCTCTCCCTAAGTTTATTCTTGTTATCTTCCTGCTCTTATTTGACCGTCTAGCAGTATGTACTAAGTTAATATGGGATACATGAATTGAGCATCTAGGTTTCAGTATGATATCCAGCGGTACACAGTTGGATATGCTTTGCCAACTGGTGTGCAAATACTGGAGCTCTCTGAGGACAAACTGGGATAGTCACGCTGGGACATTCTTTTGGAGTCCTTCTGTTGTATCATATCATACCTAGTCAGGTCCCAGTTTCTATCAACCACTGTAGTCTAGAAATATTGTGCTTATAAGAAAAATAAGAGATATGATACCTCAGGACAAGGAAATCGTGTATGAGACCATGTTGAAGGTTGCTATATATATTTTATTGTCCTTTGGAGAAATTTTTCTGTTTGCTCTCCTTTTGTGTTTACATCTGTTTAATTGTGTGGCAAGATATTTGTTATAAATATAGATTGCTTGATAGAGTTTTGCTTAAACATTGCTTGAATGTTTTGCTTAAACTCTTGCATACTAACTTCTGAAGTATTTTTCCCATTTCTGTGGGACTTACTGAGTATTCTTATTGCATTAACTTTTGTGTGACATGAATTGAAGATGCTATAATTATGAGTTAAAGCTAATTTTTTGAAAGAGTATATAGGTACTCTTGCTTTAGGTATGCTTCTTGTGAAGGTTGAATTCTTTGTAGTATTTTAATTTTTTCTTTCAAGTGTCAATTTTGGTTTATAATTGCACTGTGAAAAGCAAAATAAATCTTTATCTGAACTGACATCTGTCTTGCATAGGTAGGCTTTTTGGGTTTACCTGGATTTGGTTGTATTAAAACTCGTTGTCTTCATCTTTATGAAAAACACATCCTGAATTACAATGTAATGATTCTAATTAAGAATGCAATGAAATCTGGCAGGCCTTTATGATTTGAGCATAGTGAAATGTCATAGATGACAACGTTTATACACTGAATTTTATCGTCAAATCATCAGTCATTTGTTCTTCACATAATGAGTTCAACAAATGCAGAATAACTTTGCTTTAGAAGTCGTTTGGAATATAGAATATTTGCTTGAGATTTCTGTGGAATGAATATAGTATTCACTGTTATGCAAATGACATGCCCATCATGTGAAATCCTGGCATCTTAGCAGAATACAGGCAAAACGGATGGGTTGAACAAGGTATGACAGTTAAACTGGGAAATCAGACATGTGCTGCATACATTAGAATTAACTACAGTAATATTGCTATGCCTGAAAAAATATTAATCTGTCAAGTGTTTCCTTAAATTAAAAAGAAGGTAGACGTAAACTTTTCATAAGACTTTGGATATCGTTGGCTTTTGAAATAAAAATAACCATACTGACATATTTAAATAATTGGAAAATTGCTGGCAAGATGGAACACTTGATGAGTTAAACATTTAAACATGCTGCATTCTTTTGCAGACTAGAGTAGGAATCAATACTGTGATGTTTCAGCCTTATTACAGAGATTGTAGGAGAAGGAAGCAAAAGCTACAGTTACTGGGATTTGGCTTGCTGCATATTTTTGTTATCCATATAAAGCATATTTGCTGTTTAGATCATACTGACATTTGTAAACTTGAAAAAATAGAAAGTGAGCATTTATTAAAAAAACAACTATTCCAGTCTTAGATTTAGATTGGATATAAGGAAGAAATTTTTCACTCAGAGAGTGGTGAGGCACTGGAACAGGTTGCCCAGAGAAGATATCTACCAAATTCCATATGTTCAAGGCCAGGTTTGATGAGGCTTTGGGCAACCTGGTGTAGTGGAGGGTGTCCCTGCCCATGGCAGAGGGGTTGGAACTAGATGATCTTTTAGGTCCCTTCCAACTCTATCATGATTCTGTGATAAACAACTTACTTTTTTCCAAAAGTTAAGGATACAGTAAAAGCTTCATGAATCAGTTGCAAAGACAAGAACTACAAATCTTATTTTCTGTAATGATGGTTAAACAGAGCAATATTCCAGCATTCTGGGTGGTGTTTTGTCAGCAATAATTAATACCTGTGAAATAAAAATAAAAGATGTTATGGTGTATGATACCACAGCTCTTTGCATCAGGAAAAAAAAAAAAGAGTAATATGCCAAAATCTTCTTTTTTTCCTTCCTTTCTTTAAAATTAGTTAACTTCTATCTCTTGTAGTTCTGAAATGTTACCCTTCAAAGTTTCCTCAAGAAGCCCATGGACTAAAATGTCAAATTGAGCTTATTTTCAGCATTAAAGATTTTTTTGTCACGTTTTCTTTTGAATAAGTATAGAAGCAGAAGACTGGTAGTCAATTCCAGAAAAAGGACTTTTGTCTGGAAATGCAACCTGGGCATTATGGATACATCTTAATCATATGGTTCTATCCACAGCTTCATACCTAACTTGTTGGCTGCTTAGAGGCTACAGGCACATTAGCTTCCACACTTAAAGCTCCATAATCCCCTAAAGTTTTGCTGCTATTTGTCTGAAGATGATTCTCTTTTAGCAGAGCTGAGTGTTTTTCGATGTCCATCTTGTTTGGCATTCATAGACTTGATATGGATGAACCTGAGACTCTGCGGGAGTGCTGTCCATTAGGCGTGTTCACACCATTATAACTTAAACCAACAGCACTGAGTGCTGCATGAAGCAGAAAGCCATGGCTTATATGTGAAACCTGTTTTCTGGCTTTTCGATCTTCTCTGGGTTATTTAGCTTGCTTAAACATTTCTTCCTCCTCTGAGATGCTTGCTTTTATCAGTTTTTCTTCAATTGTTGTATAAACTCTTTTACCACAGGATTGATGGATGTAAAACAATATTGAGAGAACTGCCATGGAGCTGTGGCACTATATTGAGCCTTCTAGCAGGTCTAGAATTCCTTGTCTTGTCCAGAAAGTGTTTACATACTTCATAAGGCTTGCATAATCTTAATGAGAAAGGAAGTCCAGTCCTTATTAAGCCCTTGCCATTTTTATGCCCTGGATCCTCCTATTAATATTTCGGGTGAAGAACAGAGGGAACAGACTCATTATGACAGAGACATCCATTATCCGTTGCAGTTAATATAAGATACACAAGAACTTTCCTGAGGAAGTGGATGAAGTTTTGCTGGGTTTAAAACAGGAAAGTGAGCTTTCTGTGCTGAGATCCTTCATGGTTCCACCACTGGTCTTAATATCCTTTTTAAAATTTACGTTAATTCAGATCAAAGTTCAAAATTCTCATTTCCTTCCCTCAGGTAAAAAATAAGTCCCTGTATGTTACTTCTTACCTCTTGAAGATAAATTTGATTTTGCAGGAAATATATCCCTACTACACAGTCATTAGACATTTGCCATGGAAATGAATTCACCATTCCTCCCATTTCAGTCTCTTGCCTTGCCTATCCCCCAAATAAAGAGTTTTTTGAAATTTTTATTCTGAAATGTCTGAAATTCTTATTCTTAAATCTATTCTTCAAGCTCTTGGAAGTTAAAACAATTGTTTCTGTGTTGTAAGGATGGTTTTAAATAGCAAGTTGGCTCTGCAAACTGTTGCCCCCAGAGATCAGAGAATTTCACTTGATCATGTGTGCTCAGAGTAGTCATCTGCATGTGAATTCCCTGGCTGTTACTATTTCATGACTTAGAAAGAGACGAAGTTTCTGTATTAGAGGCTTACCATATAACTGTTTGGTTGTCTCTCCGTGCCATCAAAAAGCAGCAGCAGCTGGATGTGAGTTCTTGATCTGCAAGATCTTTCGACTGATACAGCAAGGTAATCTCACCTCTATGGAAGGTGCCTCTGCTAGTTTTAGGATCAGAGAAAAGAGGAAATTACAGCAGAAAACTACATGGTGATAATTTCTACTTCATAGCCCTGTCTTTTCTTGTCTACCCTGCTCACCTTCTTCCTTTCAGATGCCCATTTGCAGCTACATATTGCATCTTCCTCTCTGCTTGTTTCTGTCATTATCCTGAAATTCTTTATATGTGGCTTTGTAAAGGAAGGAATTCAACTGAGGCTTACAGATCCAGGAATTTATTGACTGATCTTTTGCCTCCTTATTTTCTGGTAGAAGGAACCATCATGTTTGTCCTTGAATGTCTCTGGTATTGGGGTAGGCTTTTGAGGACTATGACAGCA